GATGCTAGGTATTGGGTGGCTAAGCAAAAGTAGGGTGGCTGGCAAAGGATGGGTAGTAAGAGGTAGTAAGAGGGTTTGCAGTGTGTAAGGTGGCTACTAATGCTCTAGTGTATTTCTTTTTTTTTTCCCCTTGTTTTGGGTATTATATTTTAATTTATCAAAATTTTGATATATTTGAAGTTGGATCTTAAAATTGAATTTGGGCTCACAATTGAGCTTTGCGAGTTTGAGCCCAAATGACTAAATCTTGAATTAGCCCAAATTGAATTGAAGTTTTAGTTCATGTAAAATGATCCAAAACAATTAATCTAAAACAAAAATCAAAGGAGTCTAATCAAACTAACATGTTCAAATCAATTCACTCAAATAAAATTAAGTGTCTATATCTAATTCACTTAAACTTACAAAATCATTTCTTTTTCAAAACAATAATGATAAAATGAAAAAGCATTTATCATTTTGCACGTAAATTTGTGATCTCAACACTTGCCAGCTACTTCTCATTACTCACGTGTTAAATGAAACTTGTAATGTTTTTCTTTAATTTAGCAAAGAAGATTATAAGCATTCTTCAAGGAAAGATATATATATTTATATATATATATATATATATATACTTAATAGTGTATTGAATTAAAAGAAAAAATGATGAAAGGATTTTTGTCTTCAAAAGAAAACTTAGTTAAAGCCTCTGGGTTTTTATTTTAATTGAATTAAACTTACAAAGTTTAATAAGAGAGTTTAATCTTTTATACAAAGCAAGTACTCTCAAAATGAATTGATACTATACATCCACTAGGAAAACCCAAGTTATTTATCTAATTAATTAACTTATAAAGCTAAACACCTTTAAAAAATTATAAAATAAATTGATATTATCATCCTAACTAATGATAAATCATAAATAAAAACTAATTATCTTCAATAAATGGTAAACAAATTTCAATAACCAATAAATCTGTAACAACGCCACTCATCAGGACAATATTCTCTCTCAAAAGGTTGGAATTCAAGTATTAGAAAATCATCGACGAATATAGGATTTTAATATTGTTCATTTATAATATATATAAAAAAATTATTGTTGAATTTATTAATTTTATCGTAAAAATATTGTTCAATAAAATTTTTTAAGTGTGCATGTAAGAGCTTTTCTTCAAATTTTTTTTTTATTTTTTAATATTTAAGGATGTTTATTGAGACCCTACTATGCCATTTGAATATTTTCTGCAGTAAACGTCTCGTGAATTCATCCTTAGCATTATCCCCTCCTATTTAAGGGCCCCATCCATATAACTAGTCGTATTCGTAGAAACATCCTTGTAAGTTGAATTAAAAAAAAACACACTTAAAAGTTCTCAAGTCGTTTTTCACAAGTTACTTTCTAGAATGCTTATAAGATTGGACACTCAAAATGCCACCTTTTTTTTTGTCCTCTAGAGGAATATTTTTGTCCAACAATTAAAATGGTGGCAACCAGCAAGCTTGTCAAATTCATCACGTACTTGAAATTTTGAAATATTGATTCTTGTTGAGGATGGCCTTATTGTGCATAGTTCCATGCTTTCCTTGTGAAACACTTTTTAATTACTTCACAAGTGGCTAACTTAATATCATAATATGTATCTAGTACCAAATAATATCAAAACTTTTTATTTGTAATTAAGTTTACAAGGAATATCGATATCATGTTATTTGTTTATTTGTATATATAACAATGATCAAATTCTAATTATAAAAAAAGTGTAACATTCTATTAATTGATCACATGATAATTGTTTTTCGTTTTTAATAAATTAAAAAATTTCAATCCTAGTTGAAAATATGATGATTCTATCCCAATTTTACACCTCCCTCTCTTCTTTTATCCCCAAAATACCTATTAGTAATCAAATCATGTTTTCATTTGCTTTATTATTATACTAGTCTTTTACTCCTGCAAATGCACAGAATTTTTATATTTATAATAATATTTAATTAATTCAATAAAAATTTATATAAGATTTTGGTAAATTCAAAATTTTTTTTTATCACTAAATATTCATATTTTTTTCTTTTTATTTTTAATTAAATTTATATTTTTAATGTTAAAATCTTTGATTTGATTTTTAATTTCGTAAATTAAAAGTATAAAATTCCAAAATAAAACATAAGTTATCAACAAAATTTTCAAGTAACCTTTTGACCTCTATCTTTATTTAGAAAAGTATATTAGTAAATATTTAAGACATTGAAATTTTTAATTAAATTCATTTCATAAATTTGATTTCTTAAATGGTAATAAAGAGAATTTTGTTATATAAAAAAAGGTTTACATAAAACCTAAATGTAGTAAGTATTTATAGATCCCAAGAAATTATAAGAAAAACTGATAATTGAAATAAGGTATAATTGAAATTTAATAATGAAGTCGATCAAAAAAATGGAAAATTTTGAAATTGAAGACAAAAATATGATTAAGAAAGTTGAATCAAAAAAAGTTTGTTAGATTCAAAATCATTTCTCAATCCCTTAAACATTTATTTTCTCCTTTCATATATGTACCAATGATAAGAAAATTTCATTCATTAAAAAAAAAAAAGAATGATAAAAAAACTCCAATTTAAAATTTTTATTATCATAATATAGTTTAGAGTAACAACAATAGAATTGATATATATTAATAAAAAATTACATAAAAATCAACAAATGAAAATCTTTTTAAAAATAAATCACGTACCTTAAGAAAACAAAAAATGCTTCTTTTTTTCTAAAAGAGATCCATTGTTTATTCTTATTGATTGTATAAATCACTGTAAAAAGAAAGTAAGATTAGGGAAATTTAAGGGAGGAAATAAAGTTTTGAAAAAAAAATATAAATGAAAAAAATACTTTTAGATGAAAAATTTGAAGAAATCCGGAATGGATGGAGTAAAGAAAAGAGCTTTGGATTGAATAAAATAGCAAAAATTTATTATGTTTTTAATTCTACATCAAATATTTTAAAATATAAATAATTGAATAAATTTTTATCCATTTATTTAAATGGATGTTTTTATCTACTTATTTAACTAGAGATTTCGAAAATATATTAAGATGAATATTTTTAAATCTTTAAACCAAAATTTTTAAATAATAATTCATGCATGCTGTTATCAATTTAAATAAATTTGAATATTTTAAATAGATTTAAATAATATTAAATAAGTTAAATAATCATGTATCCTTTTATCCATTTTTAAATTAATATTTAAATATTTGTTATTATTTAATGATTTAGTTTAAAAGTTTTTTATATTTAATTATTTTAATAAGATATATTATAATTATTTATTATTATCCTATATGTCATCCAAAGAAACTATTATAATTATTTATTATTATCCTATGAATCATTCAAAGAAATTATCCATCTAAATGTTCACATAAATAAACCCTATTAAGTTTATATGTATATTGTAATATAATATTATATATGATATGTTTTGGACTATTTTGTTTTCGGTTCATGTTTCACTTGCTTCGTTATTCTATTTGGGCCATTTTGTTTATGGTTCTTTTCTTTGAAACCCAAGTTCTATTTTAGATTCGATTATGAGTCCACATTCAATGATTGGACAAGTTCAAACAATTTTCTTTACGAAATTTAATCTTTATACAATTTAATCAATTATAGAAAAGAAACTAAAATACATTGTTATTGATTTGTATTAAAGAATTATTATTTTATGCACTGTCCTTGGAGTTTTTAAATTCAACAAATGGGATCAATTAGCTTTCACATATCCATTTAATAATTAATTAATTTTTAAAAAAATTATACCTAATGGGGCACGTGAAATTTTTTAACCGTAAAATTAAAATTTTCACCATCTAATATATAAGATAATTTTCTTTTTTGTAGAATTGTTTTACCATTTCCATGGAGCAATTGGTATTCAATTGTTGATTGAAATAATTTTCTTTCCTTCTCTTTTTTTTTTTTTTCCGTTTTACCAAACGGAATAATATAATGAATTAGAATAATAATAATATCCAAATTGTTGATCAATATTAAAACCGCTTGAACTTGAAAATCACTCAAATTTAAAATAGACTTTGTTAAAGTGGTAAGGTTGAGATAGGATATGGATAAAGATTCTAGGTTCAAGGGGAAAATATTCCGTTTGAGCTTGAAAAGCACTCAGAGTTATCTACTTTCCACTCAATCATCTCTAACTAATTAAAATAGCTTCATAGAAGGATGAGATAAGATATGAACAAAGATTCTAGGTTCGAGGAGAAGAATCTCTATTCAATTGTGATGGTACTTTTTTATTTTCTTGAAACATAAGAATTTTGAGCTATATAATGATGTATAATCCTTCGGGATCAAATAAAATTCCCTAAAATTAATTGTTGTATTAGCTTTGATAATAATTAAAAAACCCTTTAAAATTTTTTCAATCAATTATGCTTTATATATCTATGGTTTTGCATTCATATAATCAACTACAATTCTACAATTATTCAATTCCATGCATATATTTTACATTTACGAGTCCTATGAATTTCACACACATTAATAGTTTAATTGCACAATTATATATATAAAAGTGGTTAATTATAACAAAATGCCATGTCACATTTTTTAAGACAAATGGTGAAATATTATTGGATGGTGAGGACTACCGTATGTGAGCGTAGAAAAGGGAATGATCTGATCACCGAAAGACTTGGGCAGCGTAGACCAAGAGGATCCCGCTCCTTCGTCCATTTTGGTCGTATGGAATGGAGACCCCGAAAAGAACACTAACCTTAAACCCGTAAACAACAAATTGTATATATATGTACTCAAACTCTCACTTCAGCTCTTCATTTTGATTTGTTAAAGAGGTCTAGTATCACTAATAAACAACAAAATAAAACCCAAAAAATATCAGGAAAGGAAAAAAAAAAAAAAGCGAAAGAGTCGTAGACAATCTTATAAATAAGAAGTCAAAAGAGCAGCATCGTTCCTTTGAGAAGAAGAAGAGACAAAAATGGTGGACAAAGACGACAGCTTGCAGGAAATCAAGAACGAGAATGTCGACCTTGTAAGCGATGCTACACTTGCTTTTATATTTTTTTTTCAGGATTTTCTTTTATTTGTTTAGGTTATAGCTTTTAGGGCACATTGACATAATATTAAATTCATGGGGCATGCACGTAAGAGTATTAACATTTTAATGATTGAGTTTTTGTAGTTAAAGAGTGTTTCTATATTTTTAATTGATAGAATTGATGTTTTTCTGTTTGGTTGTAGGAGCGCATTCCGGTTGAAGAAGTGTTTGAGCAGTTGAAATGCACCAAGGAAGGCCTGACAACCGAGGAAGGACAGAAGAGGCTGCAGATCTTTGGCCCAAACAAACTCGAAGAGAAGAAGGTAAATTTGCTAATTTCAGTCCCCCGTCTTTATCCCATTTTGATTCTCATGAGGGTAGAAACTGATTAGTGTTGAACAAATTTTAAACAGGAAAGCAAGTTCCTGAAGTTCCTGGGTTTTATGTGGAATCCTCTCTCATGGGTCATGGAGATTGCTGCTATTATGGCCATTTGTTTGGCAAACGGAGGAGTATTAATCTTTCTCTCCATTTCTCTTTCTGTAGTTGGATAAACAATCTTTTAACTCAATAAATAAAATGCAGGGCAAACCCCCAGATTGGCAGGATTTTGTTGGAATCGTGTCATTGCTTCTAATCAACTCCACCATTAGCTTCATTGAAGAAAACAATGCAGGCAATGCTGCAGCGGCACTTATGGCCGGTCTTGCTCCCAAAACCAAGGTGCTTAAGAATATCAGTACTTTGGCCAACACAATATAAGAATGCTGCACATATACAAATACACACACACACACACACACACACACATATATGTATATAAAATATAGTGAAAGATTAAATAACCAACCAAATATATGATGGTTGAGCTGATGTTTCCTTGCATGTTTGGATGATTCAAGGTCCTAAGAGATGGAAAGTGGTGCGAGCAAGAAGCTGCAATTTTGGTACCTGGGGACATTATCAGCATCAAGTTGGGAGATGTCATCCCAGCTGATGCACGTCTCCTTGAAGGTGATCCACTCAAGATTGATCAGTCTGCCTTAACTGGTGAGTCTTTACCGGTAACCAAGAACTCAGGTGATGAGGTATTCTCTGGTTCTACCGTCAAGCAAGGTGAGATTGAGGCTGTTGTTATCGCCACTGGTGTGCACACATTCTTTGGTAAAGCTGCTCACCTGGTTGATAGCACCAATAACGTAGGGCACTTCCAGAAGGTAATGTCACAAGCTACGTTTATAAAACTATTTGCTGGTAAAGAAAGAAATATTAAAGCTATATTACATCATTTCAAAAATTATAGCTGTTCTTCATTTGTATTTGATGTGCACTAATCATAATTGTGTGATCAGGTGCTGACTGCAATTGGAAACTTCTGCATATGCTCAATTGCAATAGGCATGATTATTGAGATTGTGGTGATGTATCCAATCCAGCATCGACAGTATAGGGATGGAATTGACAATCTCTTGGTGCTTCTCATTGGAGGGATTCCTATTGCCATGCCAACAGTTTTGTCCGTGACAATGGCCATTGGATCTCACCGACTTTCTCAACAAGGAGCTATTACCAAGAGAATGACAGCTATTGAGGAAATGGCTGGAATGGATGTACTCTGCAGTGACAAGACTGGGACGCTTACTCTCAACAAACTTACTGTCGACACGAGCATGGTCGAGGTTGGTCTTTAAATTGATGTAAAAAATAAATAGAACAAGGTTATTTTTATGATTTAGGATTTGAAAGCAGTCATTAACCAATAACCATAACATACCTTGAAATATACGAATCAATCAAAGAACTCATGTATTTGTCTGGAAACCATAAATCATTGACCATGAAAGTGAAATTTTAGGTGTTCATAAAGGATGTTGACAAGGAAATGCTTCTTTTACTTGCGGCTAGGGCCTCAAGGGTTGAGAATCAAGATGCTATTGATGCCTGCATTGTGGGAATGCTAGGTGATCCCAGCGAGGTAAATTATTCTTAGCTTATATATGTCAATCCATTTTCATTTATATTTTTGAATCCATTCTGTTTAGGAGCTAGGAAACCTTTCTCATCATGGAAATTTCTTGCCTCATAGAGCATGTTATTTGTTTGATCAATGATGTTTTATACGAATGATATGCATCAAACGTTACATTGTATAATTGGTTTACAGGCCAGAGCAGGTATCACGGAGGTGCATTTCTTCCCCTTTAACCCAGTTGACAAGCGTACAGCCATGACATACGTTGACTCTGATGGCACTTGGCATCGAGTCAGCAAAGGTGCACCAGAGCAGGTAAAATATTAGAAGGAGCTTATGCCATGTTTTTCTTTTCTTTGCTGTTTTGTGCTTGTTATATTTACCTGACATCTCTATCAGATTATTACCCTCTGCAACCTCCGAGAAGATGTGAAGAAGAAAGCTCATGATATCATTGATAAGTTTGCTGATCGTGGACTTCGTTCTCTTGGTGTGGCAAGACAAGTGAGTTTGGATGCAATTTTCTTCATAACTATGTTTCACTGAAGATGCAAATGAGAAGAAAAGCTTATTGTGGAATGAACCTTTTGATTTTGTAGACAATTCCAGAGAAAACTAAGGAGAGCTCCGGAGGTCCATGGCAATTTGTGGGTATTTTGCCTCTATTCGATCCTCCAAGACATGATAGTGCGGAGACAATTCGTCGTGCACTCCATCTTGGTGTCAATGTTAAGATGATAACAGGTGATCAGCTAGCAATTGGTAAGGAAACTGGTAGGAGGCTCGGCATGGGAACCAACATGTATCCATCATCTGCTCTCCTTGGCCAAAATAAAGATGATACAATTGACACAATCGGTGTTGATGAGCTTATTGAGAAGGCTGATGGCTTTGCAGGAGTTTTCCCAGGTAATCGAGTTGATAGATCATTTGTTTCTGAAATTACATTTTTTTTCTTGCGCATGGATGTGCATGAATCTTAAGTTTGTTGTTTACCCCTAATAAAATTATTAAATAGCTCCTTCTATGTATTCTCCCAAGAAACAATTTAATGACATGTCCCATCATGATTTATTTAGATTATAGGTAACATGGTAAGAGTAACCATATAATTATTTTTCAAAATGGGATATCATTTAGTGCTAAAGTGATTGTTATTTCGCAGCTAGTATGCTATAAAAACTGTTATTATTTTGTTCTAACTAATGGCTATCATTCAGAGCACAAATATGAGATTGTGAAGAGGCTACAACAAAGGAAGCATATTTGTGGCATGACCGGAGATGGTGTGAATGATGCACCAGCTCTTAAGAAGGCAGACATTGGAATTGCAGTTGCTGATGCAACTGATGCTGCTCGAGGTGCATCAGATATAGTATTAACAGAACCAGGACTAAGTGTGATTGTGAGTGCTGTTCTGACAAGCAGAGCAATTTTTCAGAGAATGAAAAACTACACCATCTATGCTGTCTCTATTACCATCCGTATCGTGCTGGGTTTTATGCTCCTTGCCCTTATTTGGAAGTTTGATTTCTCGCCTTTCATGGTTTTGATCATTGCCATACTCAATGATGGAACAATTATGACCATTTCCAAGGACAGGGTTAAGCCATCTCCAATGCCTGACTCATGGAAGCTCAAGGAGATTTTTGCCACCGGCATTGTCCTTGGTGCCTATCTTGCTTGCATGACCGTTGTTTTCTTCTGGGCTGCTAACGAGTCCGACTTCTTTTCAGTAAGAAAAAACTATTTATATTCTCCTTGAAACCATAATAGGAACCACAAAGCATTATTAATTAAAGGTTGATAACCATTGCAGGATATGTTTGGGGTAAAATCCATTAGGAACAATAAAGAGGAACTTACAGCTGCTGTCTACCTCCAAGTGAGTATTGTGAGTCAGGCGCTTATCTTTGTTACTCGTTCCAGGAGCTGGTCTTATGTTGAACGCCCAGGTCTCCTGCTAGTGACTGCGTTCATTCTAGCACAACTTGTGAGTTCTATAAAATTTCAGTTCTGGCTGCTTGATATCATTGCAGAATTTAATATGCAAGAGCAACATACTAATAAATATAAGTTGCTGAACTTTTGAAGTTGGCTACTGTACTTGCTGTTTACGCAAACTGGGAGTTCGCAAGAGTAAAAGGCATTGGATGGGGTTGGGCTGGTGTTATTTGGATCTACACTGTAGTTTTCTACATCCCACTTGATATTATCAAGTTCTTTATCCGGTATTCTTTAAGCGGCAGGGCCTGGGATAATCTTCTTCAGAATAAGGTATGACAAAATCATTTTCTTGATGAAAACTGAAACTGAGTTTTCCATTTTATTGACTTTCTCTTTCATATATAGACTGCTTTCACAACCAAGAAGGATTATGGAAGGGAAGAGAGGGAGGCACAATGGGCAACAGCTCAACGCACCCTTCACGGATTACAGGTTCCCGGGACAGAAGAGATCTTAAATGACAAGAGCAGCTACAGAGAGTTGTCAGAGATCGCTGAACAAGCCAAGAAGCGTGCTGAAGTTGCAAGGTGACGATCACTAGTGACTATGGTTTTTGTTTTAATAGTTATATTCTTGAAACAGCCATTAACATTTATTTCTGCATCTTATATTTAACAGGTTGAGGGAGCTTCATACACTCAAGGGGCATGTTGAATCAGTTGTGAAGCTCAAAGGACTTGACATTGAGACTATCCAACAACACTACACTGTATGAGAAAGATAGGACAACTTTAGCATGGGAAATTAGGAAATATCCAAAACTTTTTCTTTATTGGTTTGTTCTGTAATAGCAGAAAGCCGAGGCTTTTCCTAGCAATTAAGTTATGTATAGGTTCAAACAATTGGAGTTTCACATGGCAGCAGCGGCAGCTAGTTCTTGTCAGCATCAATCAAATAAAGAAAAATTTAGATAGTGTTTGGTTCAAGAAAACATAGATTTTATTTTTTATTTGTTGGGAAAATCAACACACACACAGAGCACTTACGAACAAAATAGCAAGCTCAAATCAAACACAAATATATTTGGTTCGGCCCAACTCAAAATGACCTACTCTAAACCTAATCTACTATCAAATAAATCTTTACAATTATGAGACTTTTAAATGAAAAAAGTCTCCTAAAACTCCTTACTCAAAACTTAACCCAAAACCCAATTACACCATTTTAATAGCCTACTCACCTAGCTATTCTCTTGGTGTCTAACTATCTGAGACTCTTAAACCAAAACCAAAACATCTTATTTATAAGGGAAAAAACCCCTTATACCTTTACTAAACTCCTGATATAAGATACAAGACAAACTCGAAACCCACTAACTTTCGATGTGGGATTATGAGATTTAAGACAAATCCCAAAAAATCCTCCCTTGCCTTGAATCTCCAGACACTTTAATAGCATCTACTGGCACGTTTGCCTTTCTTCTTTTTTTTCATCACAGGGATCCCAGCAATTGAGCCTCCATCAAGCATGTATAAGTGATTTTTTACTCTATTCCCTTGTAGAATCACACTACCATTCTTGTACACTTTCAACCAATCATTACAACCATAATATGTGTACCCCCGAGAAGCTAACTCACCCAAAGCAATTAAATTGTAGCTACAACTCGGTACATACCTTACATGACGAAGCGTCCTAATAACACCATTATGAGATCTAAGGCAAACACTCTTAATGCCTTGAATCTATATTTTTTCTTTATTAGCAACCACAATATCCCCATACTTCTCATTTTCATCCAACTTCACAAAGCAACTCTTATAATTGCAAACATGAACTGTAGCAGCAAAATCTAAAACCCAACTTTTATCACCTTTTAAAGTCTGAGTCTCATCCACATAAGTCGTCAAAACAACATCATCATCAGACACAATAGCAGCAGTATCATTCTTTTTTTCATCTGATTTCTTCTCATCATTCGCCCTTTTGGAAGCAACCATATCCCTTCTCAGCTTCTATAGTGCACTTAGATATGTTCTCTTTCACCACAATAATAACATTCTATATCACTGTAATCTCTGTCTCTTGACTTGGATCTCTCTCTTGATCCATCAATTCTCTTTTAAGTCCTCCCTAGATCAAAATCCTTTACAACTAGTGTACTTCCTCCAAATGATGAGTTCTAAGCTCCCATAAACTTTTTGTTCTCATGCAACAAGGCAGTCATATCATCAACTTCAAAGTAGACCTATCCACCAACAAAGTCTGAACTAAAGGCCTATAAGACTTGGACAAAGATGATAGCAAAATTAAAGCCTTCTCTTCATCTTTTAACTCATTAACAGAAATTGCCAACAATCGAGAAATCAATCTATCAAACTCATTCAAGTGATTATGAAGACTCATACCTTCTTCCATCTTTAGAGAATACAGATCCATCTTCAAACATAATCTGTTTGTTAATGACTTCGAAGCATAAATACCCTTAAGCTTATCCCACAAATTCTTCGAAGTACTTTTAGTTAACACATTGTACTTTACTTCTTGAGCTAGCACCAATCTAATAGTACTAACAGCTTTCTTCTGAATTCTATTCCAATTAGCATCAAACATTCCCTCAGGCTTACTACTCTCTAATGCCTGATTCAACCCTTGTTGTACTAATAAATCTTGAATCGTACTTTACCATAACATGAAATTACTCTTTCCATCAAATAACATAATCTAAAACTTAGGCATAGGCATACGAGACATACTTTCTTCAAACATTTTGAAATATTGCTTCACAATCTCTTGGGCTCACGATTTGTAAACTTCGAACCTCGCTCTAATACAATTTGTTAGGGATCACCACACATACAACACTTACGAACAAAATAGCAAGCTCAAATCAAACACAAATATATTTGGTTTTGCCTAACTCAAAATGGCTTATTCCAAACCTAATCCACTATCAAATAAATCTTCACAATTGTGAGACTTTTAAAATGAGAAAAGTCTCATAAAACTCCTTACTCAAAACTTAACCCAAAACCCAATTACACCATTTTAATAGCCTATTCACCTAGCTATTCTCTTGGTGTTTAACTATCTGAGACTCCTAAACCAAAACCAAAACATCTTATTTATAAGAAAAAAAATCCCTTATACATTTACTAAACTCTTAATGTGGGATACAAAACAAACTTGAAACTCATTAACTTTCGATGTGAGATTATGAGATTCAAGGCAAATTCCAACATTATTTTCATTAAAAAAAAATAGAAAATGTAGTAGAAAACATGTTTGGTTCAAAAAATAAAAAAAAAACTTTTGGAAAATAAAAATAAAAATGGGCCAAAGCTAGAAAAAAAAAAGATGTTTTGAGCATTTTCAAAGAAAACATGAAAAACAATTGAAAAAATAAAAAAAACATGGGTTTTGCAAACATCATTTTAAGTGTTCAATGCAAACTCACTAAACACCCAAGATCGAATCATAACAGACGTAAAAGCTCATTGCAAATGTTTTAGTGGTAAACTTGTTCCAATATCCCTTTAAACAAAAGTTCAAGAAGCATGAACTCTCCATCCACCTCGTTTCTACCTTCAAGAATATAGGCATTTGTAAGCCTTGAAGGTTTCACCAAAATAGAACTTCATAAAGTGCTCGTACCTCAGCTTGACTCCTTGATAGAATATCAATTCTTGGAAGTTTGTAACCTCAAACAATCATGTCATCAAGTTGAAGATGTGCTTACAGAAGGTATGAAGAAACTCTAGGAAACTATGTCCGCGATTGTAGTAGCAAGTCAATTGGGCGAAGGTAGCTTTGTTCCTCATGTGGCTACTGCAATGGAAAAAAGAAGCTCTAGTCAGCTTTTTGAACCAAGCGTACAACCTTCAATGGGAAACACTACATAAGATGTCTGGTAAAATTTGAATGTTTTTCTTGGTGCTAATTGGTTTAACTTTTTATGCTTTATTTAATTTTTTATTTTAATTATTTAGTTATTATTTTCATTTTTTTTAAATATGAAAACCAAGCTTATTTTTTTATAATTTTTATTTTTAAAAATAATTTTTCATTTTTATGTACCTTTTTTAAAATTCAAAAATTACAAAATAAAAATTATTTTCAAAAAATAAAAATAAAAATAAATACAAAAAATATTTTCCATAACCAAACACAAATTCTTCCATTTCTTCCAAATGTTAGAAGGAGTGTTTATTAATTCCAAATAGTTTTTGCTCCTTCTGAGTTTTTAATTTTTTGTTGTCACTTATGAGCACTCTTCAAATTAGCTAATTATTGCTTATCAGTACATCTATTTTTACTTTTTGGCCTAGAAAAAAAGAAATTTAATTGGAGGCATGACACCATTTACAAAAGAATAATCAAGCTCTATCCTCTTTAAGATTCTTTCTCTCGGCTATACTCTCAAGCACTACATCAACAACCAACTACCACAAGCTCTAAACAACAATGGATTTTGCTTTTTCTTGTCCCCCCTTTTTTTTTCTCTTTTCTCATTTCCCTTTTTCTCTACTTAATTATACTATCTATTTCCAAATATATATACGTGAGATCCGAGTCTTTCCCCCATATTTCTATATATTTTAGTGTTTTCCATTATCATTGTTTGATATTTTTCATGATAATTTGTTTTTTTTAGATGATATTTTTTAGATTATCAAAGTTTGTGGCCAATTTTTAGCAGTTCTAAAAAGATTTGGGTTAAGATATCTCTCATTTGGCTTGAAAAATAAAGGGTTCGAGTAGTGTTTATCGGGTTAAAAATGGATACGGGTATTACTTTGTCTAATTTCAAATAGATTTGGGTTTCCCATTTTTTAATGAGATTTGGAAGAGGCAGGTGTCATGTCTTTTTCCATCCCCAACCAATATTACATTGGTTAAAAGGACAAAACAATGCAATGGGTAAAAGAACGCCTCTACCAGTGATGAGTACATGATTTTTTATCTTCTACTATAATATATATATAATTATATATAAAAATTTAAAATGATATATTATTGTATTATTACAATTGTGTGCAACAAGTTCAAATATTTTGAAAAGAGACATAATTTTGTCATTTCTAATATTATTAAATAAATCCTTCTCAATATATATAACTAAATAATCATTCAAAAAAGAATAAAAATTTTATTCCATAAATCACTTTTTATCAACTTCATTGTTGAAAATATTCGGTTTAAGTTGTTGTAGCTATAAAAGAATTAATGCCAACTTGAAAAGCAAGTACACCATTAGATAAATAATATTCACAAGCAAATCTTTCATCATGATGCACATCCATAATATAATTATCAAGGTGATTTCTTAGTGTTATGAGCTCAACAAAAGAAAACTCATATGGATAAAATTCAATTATCTTTAGCAACTGGTTCACATTTGCAACTTGTTCATATCAAATGCATTAAAAGAATTATTTGGACTTAAGTAAGCAACATAAAGAAGTAAATCAGTATTTGCTTCATTAAAATGACTATTAAGCTCCAAAAATTGCTAACCAGTGAAGATTAAAACGACTTTTAAGCTTCTTAAAGTTGCATAATTATGACAACATATAATAAATTAACTTGGTAATGATAATAATAATGATGGCACTTGTTGACTTAAAGCTCTTCAACATGATCCTCGAACATATGCATCTTTCATGTTTGGAACTTGAATGTTGTATTTGTTGCAGAAATAAGATATATTATTAAGAAGATTCTACCACCCACCATCTCTTGTTTTTTACAATCTTTGCTTGGCAACACTAACAAGTTTTATAGCATTTACAATTTCTTGATCTTTCTTTTGTAAATCCAAATTCAACTTATTTGCTAGGCTCAAGATGTTTACCATCAAATGTACACAAAAAACAAAGTTGAATGACTCTAAGAACTTTAAGAGATAATGTGCTTCTACTCTTTGATCTTGATATGTGCCATCATTTTTAAATTCTTTAAATT